AAGCAGGAAAATTGAGATTTGTATGTATGATGTGGGGGTGAAGGTTTGTTGGGACTAAACCCCAGGGCCTGCCAGGGCTCTTCCACTGAGCCACAGTATCTCCAATCTCCAAACAGTAACTGACTCTATAAAGAATGTGTTTCTAAATACTGACCAGTTAGGAACTCATCATGATTCTGGAGATGGTGCCACCCCATTTCTGCTTTTGACAGTGAGCCAACTGTTCAACTTCATGGTTCCAAAAGCCCTTATACACTATAAAAAAAAACTTGTTCTGCTAGGACAAACTGTCAACAATCAGCATAGTGCTGCTTTAATAGCTCAATAAAATACCTCCTCCTTTTTTTCTGAAACAGTTAACAAATAATCTCTATCTCAGATTTAAAGAGTACAGACCACTTCCACTGAAAAGCAAGAAATTTAGGTCAAAAGTCAGAATACTAAAACAAAAACCAAAAAATCAAAAGTCAGAATACTGGCTACCTCCAGAGGTTAAAAAAAGAATGTAATTAGAAATGGCCATACTGGGGATATAGCTCAGTGGTGTAAGTCCCTGCCTGGCAAGTGCAAGGTTCCAAGTTCAATCCCTGGTACATAAGAAAGCAAGCAAGCAAGCTCACTCACTCTAATTAAGCAGGCTATAATTCAAAGAAAAAAACGCAACATGCTATTGGCTAGAGACATGTAAAAGGGCCCTATTACTGACAACAGTAAGTATAGATGAAGATTATAATATAAACATAAATTTCTGAATTAAGAATATAGCCATAAAATCATTGAGAATGAGAAGACATAATTACTCATAAAAATAAGTAAAAAATTATAATTGGATACATTTCAAGTGAAACAAAAACATGAAATACAAACACTATAACCTTTAAACACTGTAACAACAATAAGCTTGACAAATATCCACATAAATACATGCCCTATATATTTACAAAGAGAATATATGTATTTTTTTCAAAAAGGATAAAAACATTAATAAATACTAAGGCAATAGGGTTTCAATAGGGTTAAATATTTAACATTATAAAAATGTTATTCTTCCTATACTGCAATAAAAAAACCCAATAAGCAATAATCTCTTTTAAAATGTTACACACATCTGAAAGCTAAACCGTATACCTCTGGCTGAAGAGGATAATAGAGACTGATAATAAAAACACTATCAAAATTATACAGCACATTCCAAGGAAGTTCAAAATGGCTAGTTATGGGCTAAACACATTTATCAGAATATATGAATGAACCAAAAAAGCAATTTATATTCATCAATGAATATTGTTTGGTTACTAGTTGAAATACAAGGTTACATATAATACTAGATTTCATTTTTATTTCACCATTACATCATCAATATATTAATTTAGCCAATTTTTACTTTTTTTTTTGTATTTTAGTGCAGTGTCTACAGGGTCTCACTACATAAATCAGACTTGTAATGATCTACCTGTGTTCAGCCTCTTAAGAGCTGGGATCACAGGTCATGCCACCATGCCAAGTCTCAATTGCTGGCTCAATAAGCCCCACGGATCGAACCCTCGCTGCTGCATCTGCCTACGTAGGCGCTTTAATCCACTGAGCTATTTGGCTGGCAAATAGAATAATGAATAAGGGAACAACAAACATGTAAGGCCAAGGAAGTCACAAAAGTTGAGCCCTCACCCAGAGTGAGGGAGAGCCCAACAAGGCCAGAAAAGTGAAAACGAATATCCAGCAAAGTCATACAAACAAGCAATGTTCAAGAACCAGTAAGAAAGTCAAGGGACTACAACTATGCTAAGGCAAACAGTTATGAGACAAAAGCAAAAAGGGAAGTAAAACAAAAGCCAAAGGTAAAATGGAAGCGATTCCAATTTACCAATTAACAAAGCTGGCAAGAGAGAAGAAACCATCTAATCAGTCTCCAACTTGAGTACTTATGAAACAATTCTAAACTATATTAAAAAAAATTAAATGAGAAACTAAAACTTGCAAGGAACCAATATCACTAGAATGGAAAAAGAGAACAATAGTAGGAGAGAGGACTGCATGGGAAGAGAACTTCTGGAATTCTGTCCAGTGCAACCTGAGGTTATTGGCAGTTTCTACATAGAAATTATTCACACATTTAAATGGATGCCTTACACTCTATAAAATCCAGCACATCCCTTCAGTGATACCATGGGAAACATTCCCAACCAACAGCTTTGCACTATTCTATTACACCTCCCCTATCAACCATTAAAAAATTTTGCAATGGAGACTGCAGAAACTTGTTTTTTTTTGTGTGTCCATCAAGTTAAATGTGTGGGAAAGAACAGTCTTTTCTGTCAAAAAAAATAATTAAAATAATTCCTTTTTAAAGAATCCTTATTTTTGCAAAATGTACATCTGATAGTTTAACCATTCCTTGAAAACCTGAGACAATGGGCTACTTGCCTGCCCATCTGAAATAAAACTATGTAACAGAGCTTTCTAAATCTCAGAACTCACTCTGCCTATCAAGCATCACTTATTAAACTACCAATTCACTTTAGATGGTGAGGCAACACTCTCACCAATGGAGTAAGCACAGTGGCCATAGCGTATCAGAGATAAAAACTGAGAAGACTACCCACTTGGTGTGCTTGTATCTTCTAGCTATATACCCTTTTGCAGACGTTGCCGTCAGAGATACTTCCTAGAGTTTTTGTTTTCTTTTGTCCTGTTTCCAACAGGAGAGAATCTGTGCCCAACAAATTTGTGAATTTTACGTCAAAGGCAGATCTAGGAGAACAGGAAGAGGTTATACAGCACCCTAAATTGGGACCACTAGGAAGATCATGAAAGCAGGAGGAAAACCTGAATAATATAGTATCTAGGAAGATAAGTGAAAAATACTTGTTAAATTTGTGAGAAGTGAACCTTTATAATTATGTAACTGTCCTCTATCTACTTAAGAATGTTTCTAACAAAATACTGATATTTTAAAGCTTTTTCATATGATATCAATAGGGTAATACCATTCTTTTTCTTTTCTGGTTATTATTTGCTGTTACACTTTTTTTTTTTAATAGAGTTCTTACATTTTACATGAGAACTGTTCAAACTGAAAATGAGCTCATACTATTTTGACTTATGAAGCCAATATGTGTTTATATCTACCCAATGTTTTCTTTCTTGCATCTGAAACTCTTTCAAAGATTATTTTTCTTTCTCTTAGGACATTTTTTTGAAGTTTCTTTTGGCAACAAATTCAAAGGGAACTATGTCTATTATAGCAGGATTTAAATGGTAATTTGAAAAATCAACTTTCCAGTTTTTTCTCAGTACTTTGAACATATTTTTCTACTATTCTCTTAGTCACTGTTACTGATGTTGAAAAAGCAAAACTTTTTCTTTGTTTCCTCTTAGCATCCCATCTTATTTGCTGACAAACTATTTTACTATAACCTGCTAATTGGGATTTTTATGGTAATCCTGTACCTGAGGACTTATGTTATTCACTGATTGAAGTCTATTCTCATCTAATATCTTAGGATTGTTTTCCTCCTTCCATGCCTTTTACTCTTCTTTTAGAGTATTAGAAATGGGTTGGCCCCCTTATTCATGTTATATAAACTTCTTTTCTTATTTTCTATCTGTTCATCATTCTGTACAATGTTTCTAAAGGTTTTCTCAATTCTACCTCCTTGATTAGCTCAGCTATATATTATCAATAGGAATTCCTATTTAATTTTAGTTGAAAAAAGGTGAGAGAAATGAAAAGAAATTTTTAAAGCTTTAAGATGCAAACATTTAGATTCACTGAACATTTTATTAAGAATATGATTAGAAGGCCAGGGAGATAGTTCAGTGGCACAGCACTTGCCTGGCTAGCACAAGGTCCTGAGTTCAATTCCCAGTACCAAAAACCAAAAAAGAATATGAGAATAAAGCTTGCCTCTGGCAAGTCTCTATAAATGAAGACAATAGAACAAGGCTAAATTTTTTTCTATCAGCATTTTTAGCTGACTTACAGATGTTTTTTGGCCCCTTAATTGCTTAACTAAATAAATCGTAAAAAGTCAAATCTTTCCTAGTCATTGATATAGACTAATGAAACCATATTCCCCAGAAATATTTTATTAGTTCAGTTCCAACTATTTAACAAATTTAAAAATACAACTATGTTTCTCTGATGAACTCTGTACCTAGAAAAGAAAACTGCATTTCACTTCAAGTTTATTCACCTCACCATGTTCATTTTTCTTTGAAAATTTCTATTCTAACTGGTGTAGATCCATGGACTAAAAGTTACTAATCCATTTCTCAGTCTACAATTATCTTTATTACTACAGCATTATCTATAAATAGGACTTATATGGAAAATAAGCACTTTTGCAAGTTTATATTTCTCTCAAAGGTATTAAAGACATGTAATTGCCAACATACTGATAAAAGTTAAAAAAATAAATTACTTGGAAAAAACTAGTAATAAAGGACAATTATGGGGATTCTTGTGTGTATGGTAGTTAAGAGTTCTTTTAATTTACACTGAAATGAGTTTCCTTAATGTTTCATTAAGGTCATGATTCCTAGTCACAATCACAGTGTATAAAATATATAGCTATTCATTTTAGGCAAGCTACAGATTACTGAGCACAAGGCTGTGTACCCCATTAATAAGGTAATTTTGGATTTCCTCATAGGCACCTTAAACTCTGCTAAAAGATAACCATGACTCAGAGAGCAAAGAATAAATAAAGGCTTGAGTTCTATACAGAGCAAAGTAGCACTGAGAAGTATGACTAACAAAAGACCATCACAACAAAATATTAGATGGCTCAAAGAATGAAGACTTAGTGGCACCCCAAAAGGAGATTTAACAGAGGCTGAAGAAGTCATTACATTAATAATCACTACCAATTTTCTTTATGTAGAGGTCAGAATGACAAGCAACGTAAAAATTAAGCATATACATTCACCACTTCGTATATTTTTAAAATGCACAACACATCAAGTGAGGTCACAATCACAGTAGGTTTGCATCTTACTTCCACTCCTCTGGTGGGTGGGCGAGCTCATACTTCTCCCTCACACTGGAGACACCCATGTCCACATGAAGCCAGTGAACCTCCTCTGACCGCAGGTGACTGAGGCGAAATCCATAGCAGGCCACGTGCTTTACTTTGTGACTGTCCACTATCTTCTGAATGATGCCCTAGAACATACCCCCACAGAAATGACTGTTATAAGCTGAAAAAAAAAAACCCTGTTGTTAGTTAATTATCAGAAATCTTTGGTAAAAGAGTGTTTAAGTTAAGTAAATGACTTAGTCTTACACAGGACTCTTTGTTTCTCAAATAGCACTTTTATGAGCAAGGAAAATTTCTGGAAAAAAAAGAATGCACTTCTCAATTTCTTATCTATAAACAAGACATACAACCTTAAAAATAATTTATGCAATTCTACTGTTGTATAATCCCCAAACCTGTCAAAAGTATATCAGCTACCCTTTTGGTCACCACTTTCTTAGCACTGAACCCAAAGTATATTTTCTGAACCAAGGAACCTATATTTTGCAGTATAAGGTTGCAACATTAACATTTTTTTTCCAAAAAAAATGCACACTCAAAATGTATAATTAAGGCCATGTTTCTCGTGATAGTAAAAGTATGTGAAAACTTCTTTGAAACCATGCCTAATCCATGTTCTATCTATTGTCTATACATCTGTATGCAATCAAAAGCAACCCCTCAGAAAATAACCCAAATCCAATGCTTCTAGTACATGTTCCCCATAACTCAGAGAAGGAAGTCTTCAAATGAGGTCATCAGGAAAGGTGAGATTTCTCATGAGGCTATGGGAAGGAAAGCATTATATCTTTGAAAGGGCAGATGCATAAAAAACTCACATGGGGATGAGACACACCATCAGCTGTCCTTTATGTGACAAGCACACAAAGATGGATTTACTGTGCTGTTTTTCAGATCAGTAAAAGAAACCTTAAAATGATCTGATATTACAATAAAAATGTTTATAAGTCACAATGTTGTTTTTTTTTTTTTTTTACAAATCACAAAATTAGCAGTTAACAGAGCTATAAATAACTTACAAGACACATTTTAATTTTTTTTTTTTTTTTTTTTTTTTTTTTTTTTTTTTTTTTTTTTTCCGGAACCAGGGATTGAACTCTGGCCCTTGTGCTTGCCAGGGAAGCACTTATTCCACTGAGCCATCTCCCCGGTCCCTACAAGACACATTTTAAATGTTCCTATATATATACAAAGTGTATATAGCCTGATGCTATTGCTAATACAGCAAATATATTCCCGGCTTTTTCCATTAAAAACAAAAATTATACTATGTACCATATGGTAAAACTACACAGTACAATGTGTTCACATGGGGGGGCCTGCCTATTAGCTCAGGTGTTTAAGTGCCTGCTGAAACAAAGCAGTCAGGCTCAGGATGCTGTAGTTCGATACCCTGATCCTCAAGTCAAACAAGATCTGCCCTGAAGGCATACTGAGCGGCCAAAAACCCTCCCCCCCCAAAAAAAAACAACAACAACAAAAAAACCCTCCTTCTGCCATGGGGCCAGGGAGATGGCTCAGTAGAATAAGCATTTGCTTGGCAAGTGCAAGGGCCTGAGTTCAATCCCTTGTTCTGCCAAAAAGAAAACAAAAAACAAAAGAACCTCAGGAATTATGTGTGCACAGGCTGATATGTGCTGTGCTTTCCCTTGCTACCTGCACATGACAGACCTGACTACAAACTGCATGGATGTTTTGTTTTTGTTTTGGCAGAGCTGGGGACTGAACTCAGGTCCTATTCTACTGAGCCATCTCCCCAGCCCCCATATTGCATGGATGAGACAGTTCCATTTCTGAAGACACAACCCCAGTTACAAAGTCAATCTAAATAGTGGTGGAGAGGTATGGTGGGACAGACATGTATCAGAGAGTAAGAAAAAAGTTAACAGGCTGGAAGAGTCCAAGACAGGTTCATAAGGAACATGGACTTTCATTAAGACAAAAAAAATGAGCACAGTGCCGTATACCTGTAACCTAAGTACTCCTGGCAAGTGAGGCAGAAGGATCACAAGTTCAAGCCCAGCCTGGGCAACTTAGCTACTTAGACCTTTTCTCCAAACTAAAACAATAAAAAAGAAGGCTGCAGGTACACATATTCACACGCACATGCCCACACACCCCCAAGATAATTGTACTAGTAATTTTTATTTTATTGAAAGAACAGTTAATGCCTAATTGTTTGATCAATTTTGCATGTCTACATCTGGTAATTTGAACAACTAACTTTGAAGATAACAATATGCAATATAATAAACATTGTTAATTTCCTATCATATTGTTTTGAAACTCTATCATTTTTATTGCTTTTATTCTCTTTAAAAAGGAAAAACATATCCAGCAATAGGAGCCAGTTGGAGCTGAGATCAGCCAGTGCTGCAATATGCAAATCTTTTGTGTGAATGGAGCGTTTTTCGATTCTTTTTTTTGTAGTACACATGTAGTTTTACTGTGACAAAGTAACTTGTACACTTTGAAAGTTTAAATTTGTGCATCACCCTTTCCTTTCCAATTAAAACAAAAAAGAATTAAAAACTAAACCAACAAACTTACAATAGAGAATGGCAATTTCATGACCCTACAGGTTCTGCTGATTCTCCCAGAGTGTCAGGGACAAAGTCATTAATAGCAGAGTATTTTATTTTAAAAGTGTCATCTTGAACTGCAAGGATATCTGTTAATATCACAATTAAACATGACAAGAGAAGCCATGTTGTCAAACACCTGTTTAACCCATCAAAATATCTCAAAAAAAAACCCTTTTTGCTGATCTATAATCCCACTTTTTAAAGTTCTTTTTTTTTTTTTTTTTTTTAAACAGAAAGCAGAGATGAATATGTTAGTATACAGAGACACACTGTAATCTCTGGGCCCAATACACAGTGAAAGGAGAAAAAAACTAGAATTCTGTAGCTACACAGAAGCCTAGAACCCCCAGCTTTCAGAATAGGGAAGCAGAGGAGTTTTCTTTTCTCCCACAAAACACAATGATGATTTCATATAATTTGTGTTGCAACAGCAAGGGATAAAGATAAATTTAGAAGAGAAGGGTGTAGAGATTCTTTTCCCACTGTATTCTGCTCAAGGTATCTCCCCACCAAATAAGTCAAGGACCATGGCCCATAAGAAGAAACCTCAAGGCACTAACTGAGCACAAGGAGTAAGGTGGGCAAAACTGCAACTTGCTCCTGAGGACTGAAGAAAAAATTTACACAGAAAAAAAAAAGGGGGTTGAAATCTACCAGCATTCAACTGGTTATCTTCATTCTCCTTGCCTTTGTCCCCTTCTTTATCATCATCACCTGCTTTATCTGCATTCCCATCCCCTTCATCAGCGTCTTCCATCATCATCTCCTTCCCATTCCTTGTCATCCATACCAGCAACAAAGTAGTACCACAATTGATTTGGATTTGGCCAGATATCATTTTTATGAGGTCTCCTAACTCACCTGCACCTGCATCAGAATGGTCAGTAAACTAGTTAGAGAAGTGCTGAAATTCTTACATCTTTTCCAATGGCTTCAGTCAATGTATGACAACCGTTGGAAAAGTCTGGTTTGCAATCAAACCATTTGATTTCAGTGAACTTTGAAGGTGGATCACCACTCTTAGTCAGATGAAACTCTTTGGAGAGAACTTTACCTTCAAGGTAAAGAGTTTCAGCAAAATAAAATTCTGTTCAGTAACCTGATTTTGTATCTTCAAATTCTGTCACTTTGACCACAGTCAAATAATGCAGTGCCTCTTCATCTTCCTCCCCAAGAAGTACAGTCACTTGTAGATGGTTAAAAAATATTGTTAACCCAAAACCTGGGATTTTAGCAGTCAATTCTGACCTCTTCTAAAAAAAAAAAAAAAATGGTTGGTGTAGTTTGCTTTATTATTCATGTTCTACATTCAGTATCTCCTCATTGGCTTGTTCCTTAAGTCTGTTTCATGTGTACTTTATCACTAAGTTCAATTGCTTCCTCACCTGTTGGGTGAGGCTGATGCATCCTCAGATTTGGGGGCTGGAAGCTGTCTGGACATCTTATGGGGAGAAGGAAAAGTGAGTGAAGACTGGCACTTGAGAGCCATGACATGAAGGAAGTCCAAGCACCAGCCCTAGGGTCTCCTGGGCCACAGAAAGTAGCTCAGAACACTTTAATGATTCTCTTTTAGATGACTTCTGCAATTTCCCATACCAACACACACACATCTCTAAGCTACAAGAGAAGGAAACTGGCATTATTTCGCACTTTGCACAATAATGCCTTTGTCTTCCTCTTCCAACTTGGCAAGTTCAAAAGCCAGGGCACACCAATGCCAGTCACCCCTGGTACAGAACATGTCTGACACACAAACATTTTCAGTTGAGTCACTGCACACCAATACCAGTCACTCTTGGTGCAATAGTGTGTGACATCAACCCTTTCAGTTCATAGTCACTGCACAAAAATTTCAGTCATCTTTGGCTGTACACAGATCTGACAAAGCAATGCTTTCAGTTCACTGAAACCAATACCATGAAATGCACACACCATCACTTGTAGATGGTTAAAAAATATTGTTAACCCAAAACTTGGGATTTTGGCAGTCAATTCTGACCTCTTCTAAAAAAGTGATTGGTGTAGTTTGTTATATTATTAATGTTCTACATTCAGTATCTACACTTACCTAGTTTCAGCAGTGTACCACATCAACTCCTTCAGTTCACAGCCACTGCACACCAATGCTGATCACATTTAGTGCAGTAGGTGCTTGTCACAGCATTTACTTATAGCTCATTTCTACTATGATGCAGGAGTAATCTTTCTCTTGTTAGACCTACGATCATCAATCTGTACCTAACTTTAATGATCTCAGTTTATCTGGCCTGTATCTTCCCATGCTTAATGTCAAATATAAGGCCCTGCCAGGTAAAAATAATTCTTTATACTTAAATTTACTGCCCATCACACCCTAGACGAAATACTTTTCTAGATGCTATCCCTAATGATCCCAGAAAAAGAACCAAATATATGATTCCGGTTAACACAACAAATAACTCTGAGAACTACTTAACATATTCATCAGACATTAAAATTCCCCTCCATACCAACACACTTTCACAGAACACGTTTCTAAGAACCACATGTGTTCTCCATTC